AGAAGCCGTAGCAGCACGAGTACCATCCGTATCATCATAATCATCATCTTCGTCATACTGAACAACATGCACATCTTTGTCATCTTCACCATCTTCATCATCATCTTTTTCAACCCCCTAAACAACATGCACATCATTCTCATCCTAAGCATGTTCANNTGTTCATCGTCATCATCGTCATCATCACGACCTCCACCACCGTCAATAACATGCACATCGTTGTCATTCTCAGCATCTTCATCATCATCATCATCACTATCATCATCATCCAAAAATGTACTTGTTAGTAGACCAAAGTAGTTTTTGTGAAGTTAACTTTACTGCATTTTCCAGAAACTCTGTAAAACCCAGTATTTTTAACCCTCTAACCCCTTGAAGCTACCAGGCGCCAGGAGGCGCACAAGCCTAGTAGTAGTAGTAGTAGTAGTAGTAGTAGTAGTAGTAGTAGTAGTAGGTGTAGTAGTAGTATGAGTAATTAGTAGTAGTAGTCACACTCGTAGTCGTCGCAGCAGAAACGGATGCAAAAGCGGCATTAGACTTTTGATAGTAACAACACTACATGTGCATCCAGGACGCAAACGCCGGTCACTGCCGTGCTCCGGGCTCGCCGCCCGATTGACCTGACCGCCGAATCTCAACTACCTAAGGTGGCTCCCATTCTGCCGGGAAAAATTCCGAGGCGGGCAAGCCAGAAGGCCCAAGATCACACTGTAGCATGAGAAGCTTCGGGTTTGAGGTTTAGGGGGTCTGGTGTGATACTCCCACATAACTAGCATCCTGTAGCTTCAAGTGTCACGATACCATAGTCTTCGCTGAGGGATCGTCGGAGCCTTTCCCCTACGGCTCGCTGGATGGCCTGGAGCAGTGAGGCTCCGTCATAAATGCCATCGGCAGCAGTCCTGAACCATTCAATCTTCTACAACGGCAAGAGCAAAGAAGACTGCGAATCGATAGAGGAAGAAAGGAACTAAACCCGTGGCAAAATATCACAGTCACACTAGCGAAGAGCAACCAACGGTACTTATGTCCTCCACTAATAGCTTGGCCGCAGGACTTGCGGTCGTTCTGAGGATCGCGCATCCACATCCTAAGCCCACCTCCTCTACCACAAACTAGCACTGCCCGCTGAAAGAAAGACCACCGCGCTCCTGCAATCGCTCTTCTGCACCACAGGCAGTGAGTCAGAGAACAGCGACGAACCCACCTGGGATGAACGGCAGACACGACTTCAGACAAAAGCAGGATCAGGGCTTGGATCGTCCTGTTCACTAAACTTGGCGATCTGCCTGTGTGCTGCTGCCTAGCTTCGTTTTCCATGCATGACTCGGTACTGGCGGCAAACATAGAACTGTCTAGGGTTTTGCGTGGAGCTGTAGTGTAGGACCGACCCTAGGGGCTGTATCTCTGACACCCCGCACGAAGCGCTGCGTCAGGTACCCCGGCTCCAGCCGTCTCACAACTACTTGGCCACATATCTTTTGCAGCTGCATCACCCGAATTTCGGGGTCGGAATGATTAGAAATAGCCCTTTTTGTCCTTATTACAGTTCCAGTGTGACAACCCGAAACCTCTTCTGACGGCCCCTTTCTGATAGAACCCTTACAGACATCCTCATGCAGAATCCCGAAGGAACCCAAAGCCCTAAACTCCCAAATCCTAAACTCCTAAGCCCTCAACCCTACACCCCTAAACCCTGAGCCCTGTACCCTGAACCCCAAAACCTAGACCTTGAACCCTAAACCCAAGCCCTGAAAACTACACCCCAAACCCGAAACCTTAAATCCTAATCCCCAAAACTGAGGACTTTAGAGAGCGCCCAGCGGCCAAACCCACGAGAGACACCACGAGCAGCCGCAAGGGCATGGCCCTCACAACGGAGCAGTGCAAAGACTGTAACCCCGTAACAATACTAATGGCTCACATGCGTAACAAGTATCACGTGTCATAGTAAAAGTAATAGCAATAGTAGTAGTAATTAATAGTAGTTAGTAATAGTCATGGTAGTGGTAATGGTTATGGTAATAGTAATAAAAGTAACAGTAATAGTAATAGTAATAGTAGTAGTAGTAGCAATAGCAATAGCAATAGCAATAGCAATAGCAATAGCAATAGCAATAGTAATAGTAATAGTAATAGTAATAGTAATAGTAATAGTAATAGTAATAGTAATAGTAATAGTAATAGTAATAGTAATAGTAATAGTAATAGTAATAGTAATGTTGTCACCTACATGGCACGTCGTCGA